CTCGACTTTACTGAGGTACTGTCATAGTGGACTATGTTCAGGAGAAATCATGAGCTTTTACTTACGCAATTTCGTGTATAAATATTAAAATTTTGATACGCATAGATAGCTAATGAAGTGCAGATTCCAAATATGAAAATTGTTCGAGTCGTTTGGTATCCTATAGAAAAACGGCGGTTGGACTGTTTTAGTCCTTGAGAACGGAACGCCCACAGGAGAAGAGGGATTAAACCACGCAGAAAACCTTGCTAGCACACCAGTCCGAAACCCGATTAATCTCCGCCTGAACGAGTGATTTCGGCACTGGTGGATCTTCGTGTCTTGCGAATGAACAGACTAAGAAAAGGTCATCAGCAAACAAACTGCATAAGACAGTTGATGCTATTTGCTGGGATAAATCGTTAATAAAAATAAAAATAGGAGAGAATTTAATATAGATCCTTGGGAAACGTCTGCCGTTATTGGACTTGGACTGGATAGTTCCCCTCCTATTTTCACTTGTTGAAAACGACTTTCTAAATAGGAAGCAAACCAGTTCAGAAGAGGGCCCTCAATGCCAATACTATAAAGCTTACTGAGGAGTATCTATGGAGTACTCCGTCAAATGCTTTAGCCAGATCGAAACTCATACCAATAGTATCCTTAATAGGATCGCTGTTCGCAATCTCATAAAGCGAATTTGTAACATAAAGCAAAGCATCTCTTGATCAAGTGTGTGGCCTAAATTCGAATTGGTTCTTCGACCGACGATTGTTTGAAAGCAGGTGGTCCAAAACTTGCTTATGGACGATCTTTTCGAAAATTTTGCTGATCGCAACTACCAACGATATTGGATAGAAATTTGTGACTAGTCGCCTTCCTTTCTTGTGATATGCTACTAAATGGAAATCAAGACAAGTTTATCACTGCGAAGGACGTGAAGTTCACACAGTGTGCCTTATTATTGTTTATATTCAAATTTGTTTGAACAATAAACATGAATTTGGGAGATTCATGAATGGGAATAAATGAATGGGAGAGAAATAGAGAGTCATTCTTTATGCCGCACCCGCTACCTAGTTACATCCCTGGTTGTACACCCAGTACTTCACTCTTATCTTCAAGTTCAAGTTCAAATTTATTTTGCATAAGCAAGGACATCACAAAAGAAAGTATCTTCAAAAAGAACTGCTTTATTACTAAATATCAATTCATCCAAGATCTCAATACTACACAAACCTCGTCAGCAGGTAAAAAAGCAGAAATGACAAAAAGTAACAGAATCTCCTAACAAATTATCTCTCAACAAAATTAATCGTTAGGTTGACAATTTAGCAGGCGTAACGTTTCCAGATTGCATCTTGTGGACGATCAATATCAGACATAATGCCTGAACGACGACGATTTGCACCAGAGCACACAATAAAAGGTTTACCACAATAATCTAAAACAGAAAAATTACTCTCAAAGAAGGACTGATATTTCCACATATAACGATAAATTTCCGAATTTTGTTTACCTTCATCACATGCCAAACAATCATTTAATGAACCATCCGGTTTTGTATTATTAACATGCAAAATGTTAATAATAATAAATGTACGAACAATAGCACATTTAGTCATACAGTGCGCAGCATCACATCCCATATTTTCTACCCAGCATTCAGTACACTCAACACTTAAAGCAGCAGCTTCATTCATACATCTGATTGCTGAATTTTTGCCAAATAAAACATATTTTACAGCACATTTTGTTGCAATATTTGTCATATTATTCCGTGTTATATTAAAAAT